GTCTTTTTGGTTTTGAGCTCACTATTAGGATTTTATTTTGGTTAACTTTTCTTTTAGTTATAGTTCACAGTAACTATTTTTAATTAATATTTTAATGCAGGAAATAATTTCATCATTTTTCCTATAACATGGACTTCTTGTTATTTTCAGAAAAGAAAAATAAACAGGTATGTCCAACTCTTAATGCCTTGACAGATGGCAGAAATGGCCATCAGGAACTTGCTCTATTATAAAGCTCAGTCTAACTGAAAATGTTTTTCTTGTGCAGCTAATAACAAAAGACACTGTCCAGAAAGGTACCTTGAACCCCTCTGAAACCTCAATGAACTCAGTAGTTTTCTGTAGGGGCAAAAGGAATGCACACAGTTAATTTCAAAAATAGTCTAGGAGTTAAGTAATGTGTGTATTTTTAATTAATAACCTCAGCTCCATTATCCTTGGGGCTAGCCCTTTAGCAGAATCCAAACAGTGGCAGACTGAATATTTATTCAGATCTTCCATCAGAGACAGCCAAGGACATTCAGAATGTAATGAGAGGCTAAAATCTCACACCTGATGACTTGTCTTGGAGACAACAGGGATAGTGTCAGGAAAAAAAAAACCAAAAAAACCAAAAAACCAACCAAACAAAAAGCACCTCTAAACCAAAACCCAAAACCTTCAGTAATCGGCACAAAATATGGATCAAAGAACTAATTAGAAAAAGCAAGTTGTGACAATCACAATTCTGTAGGGATTTCCCATTCCCGAAAAACCATTTAACTGGGAGATTCTGTCTCATCATCTTCAACAGTCACCCTGAGCAGCATACAGACTTGGTGATCTTTAGGTTTAGACATGTTTACCATGCCGTTTTAATTAAGTCCTTTAATTTTACCCTAGACTACAAATACGTCAAAACTGGAAGGGTGATGAGACAACTAATCCAGTAAGAACAAAGCAGATGGAAAAGGCACACTGTAGATGCAAGGGGAGAGGACTAAGGAAAAGATCATAAGGAAGTTTAAACTACCAGCCACTGGAAGTTTGAGGTATCTTTCTTTGAGACTACAGACTGGGCATGAAAAATTCATGACTGAATCAAGAACCATGACGATTCTGTGAAAGATTCTGTGAAAGATGGACAAGGATTATCTTTTGAATATAAGTTAATGTCTTAATTATGCAATGCACAAGGGTTATATTTTTTAGTCAGATGTTGGGGGTTTAAACCCAACTTTTCAAAATTATTTGGAAAGAGGAAGAAATATTTTCTATCTCTTTTCCAAAATTAACTTTTTCTTCCCCAAAACATATTTTAAAACCTTTTTGGTCTAAGTCTTCTTCCATGCAAAAATGTAAAAAAAAAGACAAACAGAAAGACCATAATCTTGAGAAACAGAGTATAAGTTTTTGAAATGAAAAATGTTTCTAAGTAATAAACCTTAAATGTTTAATTTGTCCACTGGGATGTAGTAAGTAAGAATGGGATGTGTCCAGTATATCAACAGGAACTAAGCCATTTGTGTATGATTTTAAGACAATTTTGGAATTCTTCTGGATGAAATAGAAAACCAGGCATGAAAATTAGAGTGACGAATTATTAATTTTTCAATTATAACAATTTATCTTTACTTGTATAGTGACAAATCATGCACGTTTTTCAGTCTATAATCTGTAATTTTACATCTTGAGGTTGATTATCTTATTTTGATGAAAAACATATTCTGACTGGGAAGATACATTTACAATGGTGTGTATCACTGCACCAGCAGAGACTCTGTACCTAAGAGAAATAAATGCTAATGATGTGCTATTTGTTATTATTTTCAAAAAATATTTAAAAATTAAAATGTTAAACTAATAAGTTCTGATTACCAGTATGATCACAGTGGGGTATTAAGCCGCTTTTTTAAAAGCCTCAAGAAAGGTTAAGAGATGCCAACATCCATTTTTATAAATTCCATTACTCAGTGTTTATGAAAATCCAGAAGAAGATACATAGGTAAAAGAACAACAGATTCTTGCTTGCTAGACATTCCTTTTCACTCTTCTTTGATGTAACTTTTGACACAGTCACTGTACAAAGTTCCAAAGGATATAGTGCAACCAAGCTAACAGCTCCCTGCTCCAAAAGAAAATTTGATGCAACTTTCCTGGACACATGTTGAATACTGAGGATCAGTACCACACAAAAATAAAATCTTCTAGTAGTTTTTTTTTTTTTTTATTATTATTTACTCAGCTTCTGTACACCCTGTGATGACTTTTTTTCCAGTTTGACAGATTACTGTGACAAGGTTACTCTTGAATTGATAAAGGTTTGATAGTGTAGGAACATTTGTCAGAAATGTCTGACATTGGACTCTGCAATTCAAACTTCAACAGTACTCCAGTCTGCTGTTTTCTGTTTAGTGTGTGAAACACACCACCCAAAAACACACAGCAGAAATATAGAAAAGCAGGCAGGATTCACTAAAACATCTCCACACTTTACCACACAACTCTGATTAAAGGGTTTCTCTTCCATAACCCACCTGGAAAACGCAATTAAATAAAAGAATTTTACACATCGCTTAGGGCGTGAAACATGGCAATGGGATGGGATAAGATAAATGTAGATGAACATTTCCAGCATTCGCTGTACTTCTGAGAGCAAAATATTGTCGGTTTAGAACTTGCCAAATGTCAGACATTACAAGCGACAGTTGTACTGCTGACAGCCTTCTCACATGCTGGAGTAGAGGAAACGGGTTCATAAAGGCTAATTTTAGGGCCTGACAGCTAGCCTTAGGGGAACCAGCATCTCAGGCATACACTGCCTTTGGTGAATACCACCCTTAAACACAGCTCTCCAAAAATCTTGTACTGCAAAATAATAATGTGGTTTATCAATAGGAATTTTGGGATTCAGGTTCTCACCTCACATCTTGTAGCACATTACGCAAATTTGAGGAGGGGAGGTGTGCAGAGAGGGACAGGGGAAGAGAGAAGGGATTTGGACCTTTATCTACCTCTACTAAGCAACCATCTGCAAAGGTAAAGAAAATATCTTGCAATGTATCACTTTAAATCTTAAATGTTGCCATGTAAAATTACTGTGTTTTCAGATGTTTAAGTTTCCTTATATCTTCTCGCCCTATTCCTTTGATAAATATTTTAATATTCTGAAAAAAAATAACAACTTCTTGGTTTCTCCTCACTTCTATTCAGCCAAAGGAATGTCAGCATTTTCCTTAAAGAGCACACAGGAACTCCAGAATAGCAAGACAAAGCCCTCTAATCATAGACTAGATTAATTTTAGCGGAGCACGTTAAAAATGTTGCAACACTGCTGAAAGGAAGCTCTCAGATACTCAATATGCACTTCCCATCTGCAGACAAAGGGTAGGGACACGCTCCCTGAACTTCATTATTCCAGTAGCACTGCTCATAGCAGCCTCTCTCCACAGCTGCAGCACCAAGCACCAAAGCCATAAGGCTCCTCTAGGAAAAGCTAGTACATTCCTGATCAGCTGAAAGCATTTATCTAAACTCAGAACAGGTTAGACTGCAAAATGATGCATAGCAAAACAGCTTTTTGATCATCAGCAGACTAGTCAATTTATACCAACTGAGGCTCTGGCCCTTGAACTGGGATTATCTGTGACTGTCACAAGCAGGAAGTGTCAATGAAGGCAGTTTGTACAAATGTCAGGCAGGTACACTTGCAATTAAGCTTGCATCAAATATGAAAAACCACCAGCATTGCTATACTCCTGTGAACAGTTAGCCAGTTCTTCCTGTAGCAGCTTTAGTAGAAGAAAGTCACAGGAAGAGTTTCAAACTCATATAATTTTGCTAAAGTTCAGATACTACTTCAGTAAGACTGGTAATTCCAGTCCTGGCCAGCCTCGTCCACATAAAGCGTAGTTAGGGAAAGTCATTTGTCATTTTTGGACAAAATCAGGAAAGGCAGAATGACATAAAATTGTAACACCCCGCCAAATTTTACAGCTATTTACAGCTCAAAACAACAGCCATTGGGATTCAAGTCAGTAGAACAGCCTCAGACTGTTCCTTACTTTATCAAACTTCATTTATTGATCCCTATTTGAAAGGCTGATTTGTGATGAAAAACACCAGAGGCACTGTTGTCTTTTGGAAAAGACTATTCTATGGCAAAAACACTGCAGCTCTCTACCATAACAAGGTTAGATTGCTTCTTTTCAAATATCTCTGTGTTCTTACTTTGATTAAAGAAAAAGAAAAAAAAAGTGTTATACTATACTTCACCCAGTCCATCTCTGGTTAGAATTTCAAACTGGCTTATACCCCTCCTACATGTCATCAATAACAATCAAGACTTTGGAAATCTAATAAGGTTCTTATTTTTACCCATACTACCCACTACAGTCAGGTGGGGAGGGGTAACAAGGTGCACCATTTAAGGAAACGTGCGTAAGGACCAAAGAGCTCCTGTTTGCTGCCTCTCCAGTTTCAATAGGAATAAAACACAACAAAACTGATATTTATCAGTGCAATCTGCTGTCATGACTCAAGATAAACAGGGAGGGTAGTTTCATTTTTCAGTGGAACTGCAGTTAATTAGACATTAATTGATGGCTACAAGGCCACCTTCAGTGGCTTTCATACTTCCCATTCTTTGAGCCTGGCAATTAGTGACACAGCAATCAAAAGACGAGATAAATGACTGAGGTGGGAACACCCATATTTTGTTTGATTCACAGATCACTGTAACTATAAAAGCTGCTATCATGCACATTTTCTTGCCATGCAAATTCTCCTTGTAACATAAGCAAGAAACCAGATTAAACTAAACAGAAGTCAATGTGAAGGCCTTCAGCTCTCTGCCTCCCAAAACTCATTGCCAGGTTTTCAACAGGCATTAATTAGCTGTTCAAACTGAAGGAAGAACACTTAACTTTCAAGCACAGGAGGCTTGTGATGGCTTTTTGTGAACATACAGAAGTGTAAACTGAAAGGCTAGCTTTGACACAGAGTAATTCAAGTGCACTTACGGCTGGCACAGCTTGATAAGGTCCTGGTCAGTGGTGCCGGGTGGAAGGCCTCGAATGTACAGGTTGGTTTTACTCAACTGCTCTCCACTGCTGTTGTTGCTGCTGTTGTTGCTGCTGTTTGTGCTGGGGCTGGGAGGAGCCATGGGGTGGGGAGCTGGGGCAGAGGACTGCTGAAAAAAAAAAAAAAAAAAAAAAGAACAAAAAGACTGTTACTGGAAAATAAAAGCATGGTGGGCCCAAGTGCTTTACCCAGGTAACTCCTGAGCTATGCACTGCAGGTACACTTCTCCTGCCAAAAAAAAAAAAAAAAAAGAGAACAAAAAGACTGTTACTGGAAAATAAAAGCATGGTGGGCCCAAGTGCTTTACCCAGGTAACTCCTGAGCTATGCACTGCAGGTACACTTCTCCTGCCCTCCCTGCCTGTTCAGAAAGCACAAGCACCCACCTCATGCCAGAAATGCCTTTGAGAGCACAACACACAGCCAAGATTTTGGGCTTAGCCAGGGCTTTGAAAGATGTTCTGACTGTTACTGGAAAATAAAAGCATGGTGGGCCCAAGTGCTTTACCCAGGTAACTCCTGAGCTATGCACTGCAGGTACACTTCTCCTGCCCTCCCTGCCTGTTCAGAAAGCACAAGCACCCACCTCATGCCAGAAATGCCTTTGAGAGCACAACACACAGCCAAGATTTTGGGCTTAGCCAGGGCTTTGAAAGATGTTCTTTTACTTTTTTTTTTTTTTTTTAATCCAGAATTAAAGTAGCCAGATTATAAACCTATTTTATCTAGATCACAAAATAAAGCTCTGAAATTACAGGTACTCAGGAATTAAATAAGTTAAACACAACCTCCTTTAAAAATACTCTTAAAACACAAGTTAGAATTTCTAGCCAAAGGTACAGAAGCTGATGCCAGAAGCTTAGTTAGTCTTTTCTAAACACGAGGAGCATCCAATACATGTACAGTCAGGTGGCAAAGAGTTGGCTGGCTTGAGGAAAGGGAAATCCAAAGCAGCCTGAAAAGACTCTGTCATTACAGACATCTTTCACAACAGAGAGAAACACGGTTTGGAAAACATGATCAGGCTAGAACCTCCTGCTCTCAAAACCATAGCCACTTCTGAGCAACCACAAACCACACACAACTACTGAGAAATATCACTTTAAAAGAGAGGCATTCTCACAGGGAAAACAACGCTATTCTCTAACTCCCTGGTAAATACATGGTATGAAAAAAGACACAAATATATTATAAAAATTACCTAAGCACCTCTGATCTTAGACAACAACAGGGAATTTAAACTGGCTGCAACCATCCCTCGCTCTCTCACCATCAGCATATTTACTCGAGCACAGAGCACTTGTCAGGAGAACGGAGGAGTGGTCGGAAGGAGGAGGCCATGTCCTGTCACTGATGTGATGTGTGCAGAAAAGCTGAGATCTAGGGGAGAAGTCAGTGGAGCTGGGGGACACTACGAGCTTAAGCTCCAGATGGAGAGCTGGGGGAACCAGAGTCAGAGTTCCAGGAACATAACTGCCTGCTGAGAGGGGGGAAACCCTGTTTCCACAAGCTCATCAGCATATTCTACTAACAGTATGTGTGGTTACAGCACCAGGTAAATGTTGGACCAATGCTAAGTTAACCATAATGTGATGATGAAGTAACAAAAGTAAATTATATACCATTTTTATGTTAGTAGTAATGACACTTTAGTGACTTCTAATATGCTCATTCTGCATTTAGGACTTGAACAGAGAAAATATTTAAGTCTGTGAGTAATTGTGATCACACAAATCACCTGCCCCTTTCATTTCAATGGCCCTATTTTAGTACTTGTAATTATGTACACACTACATCAAAGCCTTGGTAGATAGATATTTTTAAATTAGTATCTCTAAACTCTTCCAAAAAAGTCCCCTTACTTAGAAGAATGAAAAAGAAGTTGGAGAACATTTGAGAAGCATCAGTGATAGGTGAAGCTCAGACGCTCTGGTTAAATACATAAAGCAAAAGGATTGCAGTGATGCCTTTCCTGCTGCCTTCTCCTTCCTTCTTTCCATTTTCTCCCATTTAAACAAGGAGTGGGAACACACTACCAACTGTCAGGACATCAGAATTCCTCTGCAATCTAGCCTGGCTGTAATGTAATTCAGGTAGGACCCATTAAAAGGAAAAATCAGATTAATAGACAGTGCAACCACCATTCTAGCAAGTAATGACACTCGCTCTCATCAACAGTAAAAGACAAAGGGCAATGAGCTTCCTTCCCCAAGTATCTGTGTAGATACTTTTGCTGACAATCGAAAGCACTTAATGCATATGGATCATATTTCTCTGCATACACATTTTATCACTGGGTAATCCCCACCCACTCAAGCTTCAATGTCATTCCCAGAAATAGAGAGCTGAAGAAGGAGCAGCCCCAAATACCAGCGCACAGAGACCACGTCGACTGAGTCCTGATGCTGTGGGCACATCCTGCAAATCAGCTCCACACTACAGCCATGCCATGGCTGGGAAAAACTGCAGGCAACACTAACTTCCTATGTGGATCTTAAAACATCCTGCCTGAAAGCATATTATAAATCTCTGGGCACTCCAGGGCCATGGTAGTGGTAGATGTAACTGTGTATAGTACATGTTTTGCTTTAGTATATCAAGAGCTCAGGAAAAATCCTGTGGTAATCTTGCACATTTTGGATACTGGTAATGTCAAATTAAAAAATAAAATAAAAATTAAGAAAAGGTCAAAGTAACATTCTTACTGCTTTACCCCACACCTCCAAGTTTACCGTAGACACTGAATGTGTGTAAATGATGTAAGTCAAGGATAGAATAAAGTGCTACGTACTTTAATTATTAATTGTTATTATTATAGCTGTCTTAGCAGGGAATAATGAGTAAATGGCTTATTCTCATACCAACCTAATAAGCAAGAAAAAAAACAAGTGGAAATATGCCTTTGAAACACAAAGAGCAATTTTCATTCTATTATAAGATCTTTATCCTCACACAGAGGAAAGCACTGGGGGCCTAATTCTAATTTAAGCTGAAGACATTTTATTCCTCTTGGCCAGCTGAAAGGGGACCTAGAAGTAAACATGCATTACATTTACACTGACTTTAAGGCCACACTTATTTAAAAAAAAAAATTAAAAAGTCCTCTGTATACCCAGAGAATGAGGCCATGGGATAGGTGGTCTCTCAAGCAAGAACTGTACAGAGAATAGACACACACAGATGCCCAAGTTCATGGCAGCACCCACAGAGATACTTCAAGGGTGCACAGAGAGACAGCCATACTCCACTTTAGAGAATGCTGATCTTCTCAGACCAGCAAGCACTGATATACTCCAAAAGCTCTTCACTAATAAATCCTAGCCACTGCATCCCATGGTAATTCCCATGCATATCCAATACCCCATAATACCATCCCCAGAAAGATTTAAAAATTGCCTGTACTAGGGCTGATGACATGTTCTGGCCAGTTGCCAGACTAAAAGCTTCAGGTCAGAAAAAAAGCTTTGAATTCTTGTTTCCTGGGCCAATGAGTGTATGACTGATGGCAGAAGTATGCATTTTGCCTCCAAATGAGCAAAGGGTCTGGTTTGTTAATCTCCACATAATAACTCGAAAGAAATGAATGGCAACCTGATGATGATCTCAGATATAGACCACTTGCTACAGGATCCCAGATGATGCTGAAGGAGGACATTGCTGGGGGAGCTGTGTGCCCACCAGACAGCAGGAAATTTGGGCCTTGTTCTGACATTGGTCTCCTCTCCGGCTGGGGGCAAAGCACTTCTATGCCACAAGAGCCATGAGGAACACCACTTTCCGCACTGGCTAAAAGCACCCTGACACCAGCTGTAAAAATCTGGTAATGATGTTCTGCCTACACAACCCAGCACAAGACCTGCAGCACTAGGGAAAAAAGTATCAGACAAAATCGTCATGTTTTACTTCAAAAGGGAGGTGGAATGCAGAACTGGCTTTGTTGTTAATTTTTCAAATAACCAATGCAACCAACTAATTTTTCAGTTCTTATGTTTCATTGTTCAATGGGGAGTAGGGAGGAGAATAAACTGGTTTGTAGATCATTCCAAGCAGCTCATTAATTTATCATGGCTGGGTAATAGGATTTGTTTTCATTTTTGAAAAATGAATGAAATTTTTCCTTATTTAAAAGTGAGAAATTAATGCTCTTAATTTTTATCCAGTCTCAGGAACACACCCTTGTGCTTAAACCTTAGTGTTGAGCTCTCTGAAACAAAATGTCCCATGCAGGCGTGCACAGCTAACCATGAGTAATGAGATAACTTGGTCTTTCTTACTCAAGAACCCAAAAATGCTGAACCACAAGCCTCTTGTTTATCAAATGAACAACACTCCCCCTTCTAACATGCAGCCTCCTTACACATGAACGGTATTTATCTTCCCATGGCAACCACAGTACTCTTATGTAGTTTTTCACTTGTTGCAAGTTTAGTCTAAAGCATTTTTCTTCCAAAGCAAAACAGTACTTAAAAAGACAAATTTCAAATATTTTTCACATACAATTCCTTTTGGATGGGAATCACAGGCCGCAGATGCCAAGTCGTAGAGTCTGCTTTATTAGCAGCAGCTGGCTCCTTGGCAGGCTTCTGAGGCACTAGGGCTTGTGGTTTTGGAGTGGCCTCAGAGCTTAGGATGCAGCTGGACAGCTATGCTAATGGTCTAGCCAATTTGTTTGTGTTCACCTTTGGCTATCCCAAATTTGTCCTCCTTTATCCACTTGAAAGTAAGGTCTTGGAAAGATTCCCCATTAACATTGATATGCTGACTTGTCTATCACAATGCATATCTTATATTTAAAAAATGAGGACAACACACAGTACTGCATTCAAACATGCATTATTTAAGCAATTGTGAACACACACTATCCATTTTGCTCTGAATGGAGTGCTTTCCAGATGCTAGATTCATCTCACTTAGTGCCCAATTGCTGCTTGATTCCCTTAGCTCCTGATTGAAAGGATAAAATAAGGCAAAGTAAATACGAATAAATTCTGCAAATATCAATTTACAGTTCACGCTAGTAAAACAGTGTTCTCTTTACACCCTACTGTAACAAAGGAGTAATTTTTGAGAGTTGAAGGGCTCTTACTAGCAATTACAGTAATGA